TTTTTTTTTACCGACCTCAAAAAAAGTTATCGTGCGATTAATTGATTTATTGACTATCGCGACAGGCCTATTCATTTTTAATGTTTGCGTTTATTGTGACACATTTAAGATGAAATAAAATCCATTTGTTAGATATGTTTTAAATTGTTCTTTTGGCACACAATTTTCTGCAGTTATAGAAAAAGTGTAATGTAATGCTGGAATTTCATTCCGTTTTAACATGCATGTTCAAACCTATGATTTTTAGCACCTAATGTAATTAAGCTACACTGATCAAGTTTACGCTGTTACGTTAATTGCTATTCCACTGCGTTAATAGCTAAACAAATCAGGTTGTACTGCAGACCAAGTTATTTTACTGACAATGTATCATATTGTGAGATTTTATTGTGTTTTAGATTAAAAGGGGTGTTTTAACGATTATACAGTATATTAAAAATCATTACACGCACACAGAAACAACAGAAATCACAATGATGAACTCACATATTCAAATGCAGTTCAGCTAAAGAGCTGCTCGGCTAAATCCACAGAGGCTCTCGGTACTTTTCACTTAAAACTAATCAAATACACAATCCAACAACTCCACAACACAGTACAGCATCACAAAATGCCACAGTAACACAATGATATGTTTCACTGATGCTAAAGGTAGCTTCATTTCAACATAACCTTTACCTCGTGGTGCGCCATCATGTCAATGTGTTGCCCTCTAGCTGCCACTGCCTGCAAGCTGTTGTTGTCCGTCTTTTAATGGTAGCCAATAGGGGTGTACCAAAAAACTGATTCACATTAGGGCTGGGCGATATGCCCCCCCCCCAAAAAATCTGATTTTTTTTTTTCATCCCAAATTCGATTTTCGATTTTAATCTATTTTGCGTCCCACTTAACGGAGTGCCTCTGTTTCAGGTGTCGAAACAAATTTGTTGTACTCCTGCTTTTTGTAGCAAGAGCCTTCAAACAGATTTTGCAATGAGGTATTCGTTGCTCCAAGTCCGAGGTTGCAAAACCTAACCAGTTCCAAAAAACTGAAGACACACTGCCTTTTTTGAGAAGTAGATCCTCTTTGCTAGCTGCCGTATTGTGATGTTATGCACCGTCTTGAGGGATAGATGGGGTGACCTCTGAACTACAGAAGCCCCAAAGAGTGCACTGGTGGGAAAAAAAATCTCGATTTTCCCAAAATTAAATCTTTAGAAATGGCAAATTCGAATTAATCGATTAATTTGATATTAATTGAATATAAAACATACAGCTTATCACGTCAGAATGCAGCTGCTATTATATAACCATCGTTAGATTTTAGCTTAATGCTAACTAAAAATAATTGCTGTGGAAGGCAAGTTCTGCTCTGCAGATATTGCACAGGTTTCTCTTTCATTTTCTTAAAAAGATCCCACACTTTTGAGCTCTGTTGTCAGGTAGCCATGATACCAGAGCCTGTCTGTATAATGTCTTGTGACGCCCACGGCCTACCTTAGTTACCACTACTGTGCATGTGTGCATGTGTATCAAAGACAGAAAGGCAGATGTGGCAGTGGAAGGTGTCAAAGCAGTTTGGAGAGAAAAACAAAGTAAAGAACAACAAAAAAAGAAAACGATTAATCGATTATTAAATTAGTCATCGATTATTTTAATAATCGATTAGTCGCCGATTAATCGTGGCAACCCTACTTTGGGAACACGACAAATGGGTTAACATTATCAGTTTTGAATAAAAATCGATTTTGATTCGAATCGTGGCCCCAAAAATCAGAATTGAATTGAATCGTGAGATAGAAAAACATTCCCTCCCCTCGTAGCCTGATTTTATTATTTTAGACATGGGGAAAGTTTGGGGAACTCGTCTCACCTCATGAAGCCATGTTACAGCCTGCAGAGCTGGCAGCTAATGGTGCACGGGGGGAAGGGGAGGGATTTCACCTCCACTTCCCTCAACATTCATTAAAAACCAAATAAGTAAAACCGCTTATACTGCAAGAACAATAAGACGGAAAATTTTAGCGGTTTTGAAATTGATTCTTTTCGTATCTGGGTATACCGTGAAACCAGTATCAGGCTTCCTAATGAGTATATTAGGTTAATGCAGTGGTTTGAACTGTTAATGTGTGAGCTGTGTAAACTATAGATTTATTTGCTGTCATTTCTCTTTCAAAATTAATTTTACTCCAACTTTTCCCTGAGGTCCTCTTAATTACCTAAGCTGTACTGATGACTGCTTATGACTTTCTTCTATAAAAGGCTCAATCCAGATTGGTTTGTATTATATTTAAATATAAGGTAAAACAAATAGGAATAATTTTCAGAGGATTTTGTTGTACGTTCTTGCCATAGGAATAATGTTGCAGATTGTCTGATAACTTGGTGATCAAGTGATCAGCACTATCACTTTAAGATACGATCCATTTAGACTAAATGAGGGCAGATGTTACCAGAGGCATTGAACACTTTCAAGCCGTGTGTATTGTCACAACACAAATAATGTTTTGTTTTTACCGTGAGCGTGCTGCTTTGTGATATTTGAAGACATCAGACAACCTTAGGCTGCAATTTTCACCAACACTGGAGTTCTGCAATTGAGCTGTCCCTACCTCATCTCCTCATTGATCGGCGTATTAAGGGGATGTAAGGCTCTGAACGGGAAAGAGAGCCACAGTAGAGTATGAGGGGGAGGGAGAGCAGGGAGAGAGGGAGGCAGAGGGACTGTAGCGTAGTCATATATGTCAGCCTCAGAAGCTACGTGGGTTGCTCTGCTTCCTCACGCCATTGTTGTTGTGAAAAAGACTGAACAAAGGACTCCCAATGCTACGGACCCCTTCTACCTTTACCATCTCAGCAGTGCTATGATCACACCCTGATGGAATGCTATTGAAATTAACCATGTTAAGGAGCACAGCAGGCGCTAACTGAACTGGCACAGAGTCTGTGAAAAGAGGCAAAAAGGAAGCAGCAAACTGAGGCACCATCCAAACTCCTCTCTTTTTTTTATCTTGTTTTCTTGAGCTCATCTACGTTTTTTTCTTCCCGTTCCGAAGCGTGGCCACGGCTGATAAGCTTTTGGTCCCTTTCTGTGGAGGTTTGGTGTGGACATTGCTGTGGATTGTTGAAAGCGTTGCTGTGGATACTGATGGCAGGGAGGCTGCACCGAAGCCGGGGAGACGAGAGTGAACGAGCTGCTCGCCGCCGAGCAGTGTGCCGCTGATGAAGCAGCAGATGCACCCGAACCTGGCTAGGCAACCATGAGATTATCGCCACCAAAAAAAAAATCTTAAGTCCTAAATTTCGGTTTTCTTCACGTTTCGTCGATCTCTTCCTGGACTTAATGCTGTTGTGGATAAAAGTGGAGTTTGTAAAAAAAACGACAAGCTCAGCCAGATGTCTAAGCATCGTAGGTCATGTGATCTCTCATGAGGGTTGGGTGAAGTGGTGAAGGGTCTAGTAGACCCTGGAGCATCTGTTCCTGTCTTTGACTGCATGATTAGTGACGCTTCAATGAGAGGAAACGATGCGGGGAACAGTAAGTAGCAATAAGATTTTTTTTCCCCCCAAGCAAATCCCTCCCTCCTCCTTTTTTCCCTCCACGTGCAGTAGCTCTTGATTGATTTCTACTGTAATTTTAAACAAAAAACTGATTAATCTTTTTGGTTGCTTTACAATGAAGAGAGAGAACAACAAACATACACACGTACCTGACTGGAGTGCTCAGACTTTGATTGAATTAGACTCCATTGCCCCTCCCACCTCCACCATCACACTACACACACTGCTGACGCTGCCTGTGTGGGTTTGTATCAACATATCAGGCTCTGTGTGGCAGTCAAAGGGCTCTTTCCTGTCTTCGCCGAGCACATGAATGGGAGCGGTGTCAGAGATGGAGGTGCTGATGATTTCAGTGTTTGAAGACAGCCGTAGACAAAGCCCTTTGACAGAGGAGTGTAGGTTCTATGGCAGCGACTTCCACAAGAGCGAGGTATCTAGCGCCCACACGCAGCGCCAGGAAACCGAAACCTCGGATTGTTTAGAGATAACTTTAGAGAACATTCGATTGTGAAAACAGCTGTTTGTTTTACGGAAAAATTTTTTTTATGTGCTTATTATGGAAAACATACAAAAAACATACAAATCTGTTGGAAATACTATATTTTCTTTTGATAATTTATCAGAGATGTTTTCTTCTTTTTTTGTCTTGTTTTGTCCCCCCCCATCCAGGGTATGTTTGTTTAGTGTTTTATAACGACTAAAGCGGCATGACTCATTTTAGAGCGCATATCAGTGTGTGCCTGACATTTCCCCATGAACTGAGTGACTTCTCTGTGTGAATTACATTTGGATATTAACAAAGTTCAGCTGACAGATTGTCTTTTTGTTTATTTCACATTTGAACGTTGGACTATTTTTAGTGTTTGCGCCAATTAACGGACTGAATTGGCTTGACACGGTGATTGAAAATTTTCTTCTTGGCTTCATCTGTCGGCAGCAGCTGTTGTTTTTTATTTAGTTTACTATGTGGTTTTTTAATTGCTATCATTTATTTATTAATAACAATAATACATTTTTATAGAAAGCTCTAGATGCCAGTCAGTATATTTGAACTTATTTAACTTGTTAGATTATTAATAGAATAATTAGTTGAACATAGATGTTAAAATGGATTTTTTTTTCCGTAAAATGTTTAAATTATGTCTTTGCATCCTTACAGGTAATCCTGGTGCAAGTCAACCCAGGTGAGGCCTTCACTATTCGACGAGAGGATGGTCAGTTTCAGTGTATCACAGGTAAGAGAACTGATATACTTTGATTTAAAGATCTAGTATTTATAAACTGTCACATGTAGTGCCTCTAATTCAAAATTTAACCAAACATCTTCCACCCATACCTAAACTACAATTCAGTTTAAATGATAAACCAATAATATTAATATTATAAAATCCATGTGGATTGTTCTCTGTGGGCTGCTGGTGTAAGGTGGCCTTACAGTTTAATTAATGAAAACCTTTTTGGAAATTTGCCAGTAAATCACTTTCAACATTTCACAATGGAAATTACGTAATTTTCTATCATTATTCAAGTCCAGATAATCCAGTGTTATAAAATCCTTTAAATAAACATGTAACCATTGCTGAAAAATGAATTCTCCCAGACAATACATCTCTCATAAATGTTATTTTTAGAAGCTTTAACAACCTAATTTTAACATCATTAGAGAAAGGATTTATTTACTCCAGTATTATAGCAAATTGTGTTACTTAGATAATTCTCCCTGATAGTCTTCCCCTGCTGTGATTGACTTTATGGTCAATATGTTGTGTTGCACTGAAGTGTTGTTCCTCTACACTGACTAGTGAGCATTTGTGCAAAATAAATGCCGCTTCTACTTGCTGAAAAATAAGTTCATCAAAGAACTAGATTGTTATTCATCCTTCAGTTTTCAAGAACCTGGAGTAGTTCTGCTCAGCATGTGCCCCCACAAAAAAGCAAAGCTTTTGGGATGCAGTGAGGTATTTTTTTTTCCAGAAATGACGGGGGATGTCAATGATAGCTCAGAGCCTGTACTGTGCCATAAAAGCATCGGATGATTTGTGCCATTATAGGAAATGGTGCATTTTAAGAAATGTGTTATGTAACTCGTTTTATTAAATTAGATGTGTTTTTAGGGAAGACTGAGCTGATCATCTATTGCACAGTAATAAAAATGCATTCATCTAATGAACTGTTTTTACAAGCTCATTTGAGCGTTGAGTGTTTGGCTTGCTGTGATTATTTCTAACCATTAAGATGGCTAAATTTTTTTCCCCCTGTTTTACTTTTTTATTAAAAAATATCATTTTCTTATGGGTTAAATAGAGCAGTTTTGGGCATTCTTTTGTCTTCCAAATATTTTCTGTAGAGATGCACGGATATGAAAATTTCAGCCCATATCAATATCTGTTATAATTATTGCTGTTCTGGCCGATAACCAATATTTACAGATATTACACAAACACACAAATTATATTAATGCACAAACACACTAGGGTCTTTTTTTGATACTGTAAATAAAGTACCAGACCTCTGACATGGCTCTTTAGTTATTCCTGGCTGCGCAGCATCAATATCATCATGATCCAACAGATGCTGCTCAACCAAACATCTCCCCTCCCAAAACAGAAACACAAAATTAAAAAGTGGGAAATCAATATTGGATGTTAATAATGCATATCGAACTGATACCGATATTCTTAAAAATTGACCAATATCGGTCGATACCGATAATAATGCCGATATATCGTGCATCTTTAATTTTCTGTATATTTTGTCACAATTTCTTCTTTTAATGTAGATTGAAGGAAAGGTGGTAGAACAAAGGAAAGATTTTCTACTAAAATAATTTCTTTAACTTGAGATAATTTGTCACAGAAAGACTTAACATTTGCAGAACCTTTTTAATGAACCTTAATGGCTCATTAAAAAAACAGAAGTGCAAAACAAAACTCAGCGTAGTTTTCAAATGGTGTTTAGAAGATTACAGATTTTTGCTATATCCAGGCAAAACATAAAGGTGTAAAAGAAAATCTATTGTGCTGCTAACACCGTCCATCCTTTTGTCCTTGGATCCTTTATTCCAAGTTGTGCTCTTGCACTTTGGTCTCACAGCTGATGAAATTAACAGTGCGCCAATAATCTATCTTAATGGGAAATAAACATATGGCCTAATTATAGTGTTTAGCAAGAAGAGTTGGAGCAGAAATGCAGTGTTTGAGTTAGATGTGTTACTGATGGGAGTCATTTTCTTTTCCACCGTTGTTGGTGATTGCGGCGCTGGCTTTGTGAAAGCAACAATGAAGTGTAGCTTTTACATGTTGTTGACAGCGCGAGCTGGAATAGTTGTGGGAGGTTGTGTTGGGGGGGCCGTAATTGTGAACTATTACAAAGCATCATCTTTGCCGGGAAAAGCATTGATCTCAGAATGATCCTTTTTCTTTATGGCTGGCAACAGGAGACATACCTCCCTTTTTATTGATATTTCTCCAGGCTCATAGATACTCGTTTGTTTTGATATCTTAAGCTGCAAATTTGATTTTTAGGAATAGATCATAAAGAATTGTCAGTGATCGTTCGACTTGTAGTGTGGCTCGGAGGCACGCTATTTGTTCTGCAGCGTTTATTTTTTTTAATGGGTCTGACTTTTGTATAGACCAGCGTTTGCCGGTACTTTGTGGTAAACAATAGGCCTCAGGCATCCAGACTTGGATGACAAAGCAACGAAAGGAGAGAGAGAGGAGGTGATGCTGCACAGCCGGGACACCGTCATACAGTTTGTTCACAACGGGGACTTTGTCTGCCAGCTTTTATCTGACTGAGCTCTCTCACCAGCTCTCCATTACAAGCTGAAGAAAAGTTCCTAATAGGGACCAGGAATACATAGTTTTTCCATCAGAGGAGAAACATGGAACTAAGAGGTGCCACATAGATCAGTGTGACTGCTACTAACTGGCCTGTCACAGGGTGCACTCATCTCTCTGTGACGTGAATAGAGAGATGACTCATCACTTGCAGTGCAGGAGGGAGGAAGAAAAGTGTGTGTGTGTGTGTGTGCGTTTGTTTGTGAATGCAAGCGAGCATGCATGCGCTGTGGTTGGTTTGGTGTGTTTTTGTGAACACAACATCCGTCTATCTCTATTCACTTTGGCATCTGCCCTGCATATGTTTAATCTCCCATCTTTAACCTCACGTTGTACTCGCAGGACCGAGTAACAGCCGCACGGATTTATATTGATCAGGTTTGCGTGTGGTTTTCAGGATTTGTTGCATCCCAGCCCTAAATTTTATATTCAGTCATATTTTTAGCAGCTGTAGGTGCGTAATTGCTACGTGGTAGGGCATGACAACCTGTTTAATAGGAACAGTCATTCTTGTAAAATGCAGTTTATAGAGGGCATTTGCTGTTTTCGATATCTCCCTTGAAGGTGAGACCTTTTAGTGAGGGGAACTAATTAAAGTAGCCATTCCTCTCTCTTTCTTTGCCTGTAGGGAAGGTTTGCACGTGTGTGGATATGCCTTCCCAAAAAACAACCCAGAGTCCTCCCTGTGATTTCTCAGAATCTGCCACACGATTCTAGATCTGACAGCTGTATCACTGGAATTTGTCCCCACCTGATAAGCTTTAAGCTGGTGATTCACCATCACTTTGGATGATTCATTCGAATGGTGATGGCAGAAAGCTCTGTCTCGCTCCGTTGGGATTTTTAAACCTTACAGAGATGTGCCACAAAATTTAAGGCAGCCATTGTGAGGACTTGACTTAAAGCTGCATGGTAAGGGAGCAGGTATCCTCGTTACAGAGGCTCACATAAACTCTTATAAGAGGTTTTCTTTTTCTTTCATCGTCTCAGTTTGCTTATCTATGTTTTTGATAATATCTTTTTAATAGACCATCATATTGTTGCAGGGGTAGTTTATCTTATAATTGTCACGTCTTCTAGGTCTAAAGTTTAACTTTGAGGAAGTTTGCTTTTGGTTAGGGTTATCTAACTGTCATTTAGTGCTGTATCAAACGATTATTTTCTAATCGATTTAATCTAACGATTATTTTTTCGATTAATCGATTATTCTAACAATAAATCTGTAAGTTATTCTGATGTGAGTGCACTGGAAATTTAAAATGTTTTTATCAAATTAACAAGAACAGTTCTTTAATATTGTAATATTTTCTGTAATCGTTTTTTCATGGACACAAAATATGCACAATAGAGTCAATTCTTTAACAAAAAAAGCTTAAAAGATTTAACATCAATATAAAATCTCAACCAAAGCATATAAAATTCAAGTAAAATAAATATAGTGCAAGATGTTAACAATCTAACAAATGAACTAAATCATGCAAAATTCAAGTCACTCTGGAAAAACTATAATAAACATGTATTTATTATTTTTTATTTAGCATATTTCTCAATATATAAAAATTAACAAATATCAAGACAACATCCAACTCTTTGTATTGTAACATCAGTTGTGTAACTTATTTCTTTAAGGTGAAAACTGTTGAAAACAACAAGACTGTTTTGTCTTATTACACAAATTAAAATCCAGCTCCACGTGTTTCTATTGATGTCATTTCCCCACTAGAAAAATTACGTGATGAAGTGTCCATGGAAGGAAAATATGTTTAAATTAAATAAACAAAAGAGGATGCAGTTAAAATAAATAAAAGGTATTTAAGCTACGTTTTGAACATCCAGAACACGTCCAACACTTGTTGGCTGCTTGTGCTCTTTAGGTCAGACGTGTGTCGGAAGCTCCTCTGTTGTTTGAGACGCTGGGGGAACCGTCTGATGGGGGAACGTGGCTCGACCTAACACCGGTCTCTGTTTAATGGTGGATGAAATAAAGAAAGTGGTGGTACTTTATTTACTTTGAGCAAGTGAACGTCATGTTCACAAGATAATTAATCCACCAGATAATTCAGAGGCGGTCTGTTCGATAAATTTTACTCCAGGAGCTGCGAGGCTTGTTTTCAAGCTTCAGACTGAACTGAAGCAGCAGCTGCTGACGTCATTACGCTCTTGCGCGATGCTGCGTTCAGGATAAGCATGGAAAACTCACCACTCTTATGCCAATACGGTCGCCATGATGCATTTAGGTACCGAAATGGAATTGCATGAACATTCACGTGGTGGTTATGTAATACAGCGAATCGATAATAAAAAATCTGCATCGACAAATTTACATAATCGACGTCATCGATTATTTCAACTAATCAGTCCAGCCCTACTTGTGACGTCCACGGCCTACCCCA